TGATAACTTTGTTCTTAAAAAGATTGTTACCTATATAGATATCATTGGAATATTTTGCCACAAATGAATTAATAGGTTTATAATAAACATTATGTATTATCAGTTAACAAAATAGAAACAAACAAACATAAAATGAACATAATAAATATGAAAGAATGAGTGAACCATAACATGAAAACAAATTAATTGATGTAGGTAGAAGATGAGATCAGATACAATTCCATTACGATTTAAATTTGGGACTGATACTGCATTTTTTATGTTTCTCAATCTCTATGCTATTGTTTTATTGGAATTTATAATGAACTTTGGAATGAAAAGTTCCAGTGACCAGCTCAATATGCCGTGCATCATGAGGATGAATATGCCGTGCATCATGAGGATTAATATACCGTGCATTGTGAGGAAAAGACCTTTGGGAACATCAGTCCGGTAACCTTCTGATACCGGCATGAAAAAGAGGCATGGACCGTGCACGCTGGGCTAGTGGGCGGCACTAGCGTGTGGTGATGAGCAGCACCGAGCATTTACCTGCCGGTAGGAAGATATTTAAACTGGCGGAGAGAACCGCACGTCATCTTTTGACTTTTTTTTCCGGCTGAGGAAGCCAAAGTGTATTGGCGAAACGCATACCGGTTTTTAGCCTATATAGGCAATTTATATTGTGTGTATATTTAATAAATAGTTACTTTTTGAATTTCTTAAAAATTCGGTTCTAAAAATATTATTTCCAGCAAAGAAGGAGTGCAGCCTTTAAACTGCATATGCGGGTTTATTGAGTCATATATCCATGACTCCCTGTTTGTGAGTATTGACTCTTAAGTATATAATATATTATATTACGCAATACTGCGCAATTGGTTGTACCTATTGTTTTGCAGGATAAGAAAACTTCGGTAGTAGGGGTGGATCGCCTAAACGGATCCAAAGACGCAATAAACTGGAGCTGGGCCCACAGCTCCCTGTTTGTGAGTGTAAATTATTAGAAATTTGTTTTTATATTTACATTGTGTGACCTACACTATGTTGAATTGTTCTCCACAGATATTTATTTGATGTACTGGGTACTATACAATTATACAAGACATCTACTTGGTGTATCCATTGAGACAACCTTCATATAACTATTTTATAAGGTGATTTATTTGTTTCATTTTTTTTAAAAGCGCTACATTCATTTACTTTGTATCATTTTCTATTTGTGACAGTTGGAAGGACTCATTTGGAATGTTTCAGCAGCTACTTTGAATTTATCTAATAGATGGTTTATCATTAATTGAGTCTATAAGCGCTGGTTTCTTCAAATTTTTTTGCATATTTAGTTCTACATTACTGCTGTGATACAATAAATTATGCTAAAATAAAGTCATTGCAATTGTAAAATCAAAAAAAAAATAAGACTTAAGGATGCGAAAATACATATATGGTTTAAAAGGGCACTCTGGATCCTAACGCACTTCAAGCACTGCTTAGCTTCAGACCACAAGTTTACAGATAGTACACCTAAACCAGGCTATTAAGGAAAGTATAGGTGGATTAAGTTCAGGACAAAGCTATACGTCCTGCAGGTAGCGGAGTCTGGTCTCATTATAGATCTGTTACAGTTTGTGTAACATTGCATTTGGCGTCTGGATACACTGTATTCATTTTGTATCTGTATTAGTGCTCATTAAGAGCAAGTTCTGTACTCAATTCCCTCTTATTTCAGACCAGCTACAACTTTGTATTCGATGCCTGGATACATTGTGGTTCTATGTATCTATATGAGTTCTTATTGAGAGCAATTTCCAAGATAAACGTAACAAATAAGGCTATACCTCATTCATATTTAATATTGGTCTATTTGTTATAGACAGTTTCTTTTATCCAAGCTATTTAGCATGAGGCATTTACTTATCCCTATTTCTGGTTGTCAGTTAACCCTACTTATCTATTTGGCATATAACCCCCACAGGTTAGCTGAGCTAACCTGAGCTCTCCTTAGGTTTATAGATGTGGAGTGTGCCGGGGTTGGAGACTTAGGAGGGGCCTTGATTGAGCCGCCCAGTGTTGGCAGAGTGGTTGTGGCATATTCTGTCGGCTCTGGGGGTGGTTTGTTATTCGGGGTATGAGACGTTGTTTCGGGTTCCTTTTTTCCTTTTGCTTTTTGGTGCATTTCGCGTGAGTGAATTGGTCTTGCGTAATCGGGCGTCTGTAGTACCGCTCTTGGTAGCGGATATTCGTTGGTCCAAGGCATCCGTTGATGTCTTCATCCGGTGCTGTAAAACAGACTAAGAAGGTAGGGGTTCTTGGGCGCGCATTGGTTCTACGGGTGGTAATTTTTGCCCAGTTAATTTGTATTCAGCATAGTTGAGTCTCAGGCCTGGGGGCAAACTATCCTTGTTTATTCATAGAGATGGGTCTCCTCTTACACGCTAACAGTTCGCGGCGATGTTTCACGCTGCGCTAGTGGAGTGTGGGTTGGATGCTCGGGAGTACTCAGCTCATTCCTTTTGCATCGGGGTGGCCTCTCAGGCTAGTTTAATGGGATTTTCAGCTGCAGCGATTAGGCATTTGGGTAGGTGGGGATTGAATCGCTACAAGTTCTATGTCAGGCCTCACTTATTGTAACGTCTGATTCCTCTTAGGTGCACGGCCACGTTGTATCTGGATATTGGGGCACTCCTTCGTTTATTGGGCTGCGCGGCGAGCGGAGGAGCGCCCTTACGGAAGGAATATGGGGTTCCCCTATAAGATAGCCAGGGTAAGATGTAGGGGTGTTAGGGGTCTCCTGTAGCAGCAAATTTATATGGAATGTGTGGCGCTACGCAGATACGTAACAGGCCCGGTGACAATCATTCACGCAGGAGGTAACGACCTAGGGCGCAGTAGGTCAGTGGATCTCATTCACGTGATTAGACTATGCCCGCTGCGTGGCATTGTTTTCAGATCTAACTTTAATTTGGTCGGACATAGTGTCCAGGCCTTTATGGCGCACGTGTTGAGCATAGTAGACGCTAGGGGTGTTGAGCATAGTAGATGCAAGGTCAATGTTTCCATACGGAAATTTGTTCGGCACTTCAGGGGCTTTGTGGTCAGGCACACGGAATTGGAAGGAGACAATTCTAACCTCATGCGCGGGGACGGTGTCCACCTCTCGCTGAAGACTCGCTTAATGCCGGTCTCCAGACTGGTATCGAGGAGGGGCTGGCGGCTGGGGGGTGCGGTGCCACCCAGGGGAGCAGTTAGGTTGTCACAGCAGTGGCGGTAGTCCTGGCCAGCAAAGTAAAATTGGAAGAAAGTGCCCAAGCGGCTTGGGGAGTCGCAGCCTGCCGAGAGCTGATGGGGCAGGCTGCTCTGGACTCGTGGTTCATTTGGATAGAGTTGTCTGTTGGTAAACCCCCAACAGCTGACAGAATTGGGACGCTGGCAAGAATTTATTAATAAAGCTGTGGCCGTTGCCCTTACCCATATCAAGTGTTAGTGTCTTTATTGGGCAACAGGTGTTTGGGGTTATTCTGGTCAGCAGTCATGATCATGGTGGTTGGAGTAATCCTTTAATATACTATGTGAATGCACATGAATGTGCAAATTTCACTTACTGGGGTTTTGTGGAATAAATATGCAAGAGTGAATAGGTTTACTTACTTATGAGTTGGTCAATGAAAAATAAAATATTCATTGCATTTGAAATCTCAATCTGGTTTTATCAGATATAACAAAAAACACGATAAAAACTTTTTTTTAAAAATGAATGAATTAATTTTATGTTTATACATGAAATAAACTTTTTTGTAAAACAAGCATTTAACCACTAGGCCAGGGATAGGCAACCTTCGGCACTTGTGTATTTCTATTGACATCTTCTGCAAGACTACTTCATGTTTCCATGTACTGTTTATACTATTGTCTTGTCCTGTAATCCAAAGTCTTTTCAAAACTGGATTTTTTTTACAGTAAGAACAATAAGGATATGGAATTCTCTGCCTGAAGAGGTGGTTTTGTCAGAGTCCATACAGATGTTTAAACTGAAATTGTATAAATACTTACAAAAACATAACATACCGGGATATAATTTCTAATTAGTGGGGTAATAGCTGCTTGATCCAAGGAGACATCTGACTGCTATTTTGGGGTCAAGAAGGAATTTTTTCCTAGTTTGTGGCAAAATTGGAAGCGCTTCGGACCAGGTTTTTTGCCTTCTTTTGGATCAACAGCAACAACATTTGTGAGGAAGGTTGAACTTGATGGACGCAAGTCTCTTTTCAGCTATGTAACTATGGATATTTCAGACCGGATGCATAATCTTAATATTTTAGTATAATGTATGGTTCCAAAAGCAAGAATACTGTAACTCATTAGACAAAACAATTTCTTACATGGGTGTCTTCATACTTTTGGCCACATAAGTTCTAAAATAGGGACTGCAATAATATAAACATAGCTAAAAATATTTCTTATATATAAACCATTGCAGATCAATGGGTGTGTAATATAAAACTTAACAGTTTATATAATATAGTGTACCATGTTTGTAAACATATTATAGCACATTATGTAATTATAACTTCTGGAAATTACTTCTGTTGGAGCCTATATTTATTTAAGTCTGTGTTTTTGAATTTGGTTTGTCTGTATTTATTTTATTTTTAAATTGTGTTTCTGGCTTATAGGGTTATGTACAGCAATTTTCAGAACATCATACATTCCCAAATAATAAGTTCCAAGGGAACTTGAAGCAGCAGTTTACATAACTTACTTTTACAACTTAGTGTAAGCAGTCCATCTCATTTTGAGAAGGTTTGATTGGTTTATCATATGAAAGCTATATTACAAATGCAAAAGAAATGCCTACACCTATATGTGAATTCTGTACAGTATACATAAACAGTTGGAGAGACATTTATTTATGCACTGCTGCCATTTCCAACACAAATCATGGCCTATTTGGTATTATTTGTGCCTTTACAGTATGTACTAAGATAAAAAATGGATTTGATAAATGAGAAACCAAAAAGGTGTATATTACAGTTTTGAATTTTTATTTTCACATTGTGACTTTTCACACAGTACACATAATGGCAGATACAGGTTGGTGAAGAATTGTATTGTAATAAATTAATCTAACAAAAAAAATAAAATAAAACAAATTGGATCAATGTTGTATTTTGGTGAAACGGATATACTGGTGAATTTCCCAGATTATATGCGAAGTCGCTAGTTAGATCACAAGTGCGTTCCTCTTTTCATTATAACCCTCAATATTATTTGTTCAGATGTATCCTGTGGGCCAGTTCATTTGCCTACCATTTGTTTTCTCTCTCAGCCTGGATGGATGTAACAAGCAAAAAGCTATATTAACATCTTAGATGCCTTAAGAAAAGAGAAAAAAAAAAAAAAAAAAAACAAGCATGTCTCATTTGATATTCTCAAGTATATTTTAAGTTAAAATATATCCAGCTGGAATTGAATGCACAAAAATGTAAGCATTCCTTGTAGAATCTCATGGCACCCTGAATAATCTCATATCTGTGCCCAGTGGAGATCAGTATGGGCAGATCTGAAATAAAGGTACATCAGTCTAAATGACAGTCTCCCTGGCCATCCCCACTCGGGGCAACTATATATATAGAGCACTGCATCCTATCATCAGACAGTAAGCACAGTGTAAGCAGCATGTCCATTAATATAATTGCAGTGCACTTCCTGGGATAGTTCCTGCCTTGGGGCACACCAGGGAGAAAACACTGGACAGTGGAACATGCCATTGACATTGGGAGGGTCCAACCAGAGCTGAGACTGGTGGGATATTTGCAGTTTTAGCCTAGACAACTCATTTGTTACACTTTGTCACAAGTTCTCAGAATTGGCTTTTACCAAGTCATATTTTATGCTGCATTTGATTTTTTGGGGTTTGAAAAATACAAACGAGCTCTATATTTGTACAATATTCAGCTCCCTTTTATGTGCATTATTCTAAATGTGCCATGTGCTTGAGAGGGGAGTATAATTTATTTCAGCCATCACCATGTTATTCTCCATGATGCTGCTCTGCCTCTCAGCTAATGCAGTGTTTCCCTGTAGGGAAACTTTGGGAGGCTAGTGCTCATGCACTAATCAAATGGCCTCTATGACTCCATCTTCCATCTTGAATAGCTGAGTTTAACTGGGGCAGAAGAGTCCATTTAAACAACTACTTTACACTGCCAACCTTTGAGGCAGCAATACATTTAAGGTTTGTTTTTTTTTAAATATCATGTACAAATTAATCAAAGACTTCATTCCACATATTAGTATTTGTTAGAGTACCACTTATCAGAAAATGTAAATATACATTTATATATCTTTTAAATATTAAAAAGAAAAAGCTTCACTTTTAAAGGACCACTATAGGCACCCAGACCACTTCAGCTTAATGAAGTGGTCTGGGTGCCAGGTCCAGCTAGGGTTCACCCTTTTTTATATAAACATAGCAGTTCCAGAGAAACTGCTATGTTTATATTAGGGTTACTCCAGCCTTCAGTGGCTGTCTCATGGACAGCCGCTAGAGGCGCTTGCGTGCTTCTCACTGTGAAAATCACAGTGAGAAGACGCCAGCGTCCATAGGAAAGCATTGATAATGCTTTCCTATGAGACTGGCTGAATGCGCACGTAGCTCTTGCCGCGCATGCGCATTTAGCCGAGGAGGAGAGCTCCCCGCCTGGCGCTGGAGAAAGAGGTACATTTAACCCCTTTCTCACCCTAGAGCCCGGCACTATAGTGCCAGGAAAACGAGTATGTTTTTCTGGCACTATAGTGGTCCTTTAAAGTTCTCAGTTATCCTGCAGAACCATAGCCAGGCAGCAAGACCATTGCAGACCTCTTATCCAGACCTTGTTGTTCAGATCTGTGGAGTCTGTTTTACGGTTCTACTGTCCAGCAAGAATTAAAGGGATATTTAAATTATATTCAAACCTGATAAGTGGAACTGTTAAATAAAAAGACAGCAGCCATTGCACAGCAGCAAATGGTCCCATTAACAGTTTGCAGCTGTGCCTTGGGTGCTCTTAGGGAGTTGGACAGGGGTATTAGGAGTTTGCACAGCACACCCTGACACAGTGAGTACACACTGTATAAATATTTCTCTGTCAAACGAGGAAGTACATATTCTTTGACATCAGATTAGGAAAAGGGGCAGGGTAGCTATTCCTTGCTAATAGGTGTAGTCATAAGAAACACTGTGCAATTAGACGGGTACAGAGTGACTTCTTACACTAGGACATATGCAATGAACATTGTTTGTTGTGGAGTTTGGAGTGTTACTTAACATTTAGCATTCCGTGGGTGGGCAGCTTAAGCACACAACATCAGAGAGACCAAGGACTAGTATCTTTTCTGCACAGTGGAAAGCAAGAGGTTACCATGCAAATCATATCGGACGGGTCTCTTCAGAAAGATTTGTTTTTAACTGTAATTCAAAGTATAGTTTTGAATTTAATTATGTTGGATAAAGAAACTTTTAAATCTTCCAAATTACTCTTCAACAAAATTACAATAGCCAAAGCACACCTTTTTAAAGTGTAAAAAAGGCAATCATTTTTTTCCACTTATAATAACCAAATTACATTTGGAATGAGGTACTAAAGAAACACTATATGGTCAGCAATACAAACATGTGTTCCTGACATTATAGTGCAGGAATTACTGTTTAGGTTTCCAGACCCCCCTCTCCGTGGAGCTTAAAGGTGATTTTACTTACCTTTTTTCCCTGCAGGTCTCAATGTGGCTGGCCCTACCTCCATGGCTGAGATCATCAACATTGATGATCATAGCCAATCAATGCTTTCCCATTGGAAATGCATCTCTGTGGAGAACCTTCAATGTCTCCATGCATGCTGAATGCCAGTGCTGCACACTGTGGCCTGACTGACGGCCACTAGTGGTGTAACTAGCCAGCAATGTAAACACTGCCTTTTTTCTGAAAACGCAGCATTTACAGTTTAAGGCTGCAGGGACAGGCTATAGACACCAGACTCACTACATTCAGCGGTGGTGGTTCTCGTGACTATACTCTCCCTTTAAGGGTTGAAATGCTTCTGACTGATTGTTCTACGTATGAACTTTTTTCTATGTCATTTGGTCTTTTAGGGTATAGGACCTTACTATTTAGCATCTTTTTCTTTGTTTGAGTATTTCTAATTAGATGATCCTTGCACTGGTGCACCTCTTATCACTGTATTCTATTACTCTACTTCAAAAGATCAGTCATTAGCTTTGTTGTGGGATAAAACCACTGCATATATACGCTTATTGTAAAATATAGTATGACATTTAGAAACTTTGTATTTGAAATAAAAAACAAAAAAAACAAACAAACATACTTTTATGGTAACCATTAACTTGATATGTTATAATATTACATAGAAAAGAACAGTAAAATTCTGAGAGAGCAATATTTTCAAACAATTTCTGTCTCAGCAGTGGGTTGTAAGAACATCTATCACAAAGGTTGGTGGCCCTTAAAAAGACTATTTGAGAAATAAATAAGGATGCTCACTTTTCGGTTTATTATATATTTTTTTTTATCAATTTAGTGCAGGTCTGCTCATTAATCTTCTGTACATCAGTGCTACAATTTCATAAATAATATACGTAATTCAAACATTATAACATTTGTACAGGAATGCAATGCTTGAAAGCTTGATATAAATTGAGAGGTGCGTTGCTCATCCCTCTGGCACTGACACGGTTAAAGTGTTTTTTTTTGTGCTTTAACAACCTAATTCTTTTAGTTTGTGTTGCCACAATGGTTTCCTATATCCGAATGTTTGTAGAAATTAGATTTTTTGTTTGAGAATGGTTTCAGGACATGGTTATATGGATAATGAACAAGTAACATCTAAAAGCTCTTAAAAAAAAAAAAAAAAAAGATTCTAACGGTTCAGTAGTTCTCTAATTTCTCAGTGCAGATGACAAATTCCATGTGACCCAGATACACTATTACATAGAAGTCCTTTTACTGTAAAGACATTCCGTTTTTAAAGCCATCATCTATTTTGCGTTTCATCATCAATAATCTCAGCCCTTCCCATGGAGTCCTGTGTGTTTGGTTGGATCTGCTGAACAGTCTCTTCCATACTGCTGCTTGGAAAGACAACATAACGAGCTGTGACTCCATGACTCTTGGAGTCGTGCAAGTTTTCTTTGCTGTGCCAGATGCCGTAACCAAAATACACAATCAGACCTACAAATTAAAAAACACATAATGGAATACATTTACTAGACATAGGTACACCAATGCATGGTTTCCGAAATTTGCAGAAAACACGTACTTTTTTTTTATTGATCTTAAGTTATGTTCCTTGTTTATACAGACTTTTTTATGAACCAGTTATTATGTTGTTCATTACTTTAAAATAAATAAAATATTTTTGGCATTGACCTCTCCTTAATATGTGATATTCACACTGTCAAGGCAATTCACTAAAAAGTGAATTCTTTGGAATTTAAACAGAATTGAAAAAAAAATAAAAAAAATATGATGGACCAAACAGCAAAAACTCTCTGCCTCCGTTTAGGTCTACAATCCTAATATAAAAAAATAAATAAATAAAAAAAATACGAACACCAGACCCCCTAAAGCACTCCAGCTCTATGTGTTAGGAGCTTCATGTGTTTTTCATTTTACAAGAAGTGCAGATTTAAAAAGAAATCTGCATAATTATGCATTTACCTTGTAGCAATCCGCTGGCTGCCAATCAGACAACAGGTCATGTTGCTTCCTGGTTTGTTTAGATCAGGTTATATAAACACAAGAGGCAGGGAATAGTTCAGAAAACCTACCTCACAGAGTTTTTTCATTGAGCTGCATTGGAAAGATGTGATTGGACAGCCACAGAAAGTCTTTGCATTCATAAATTATTATAACTTTGTAATCCTTTTTTAAAAAGAAAAATAGGCCTTCTTTGGAATGTTAACTAGGAATAGAATATTAATACATACATTTAATAATTTCTACACATCAAGTGCAACTAAAGAAAACTCAAAATGGATTCACTAATTAGTCCTGACTGTTAATATGTCCTATGTGTCTAGGAGTTAAATACATTTTTAGAAGTTTTAAAACAAAATACTTCAAGGAGTACAATTATGGTCTTAAAGAAAACAATTGGCATCCTGAGATTAGAACTTTATAGTGGTCACAAAATGGTAGAAAGTACATCCCCCCGGTTATGTAATGAAGAGCATTTTGACACTTTTTAAAAAACCATTTTATCACATACCTAGGTGTTTCTTCCCTCCTCCCCTCAAACACGTTAGGGGAAATTCACAGAATATGTGTTTCCCACTATTGCAAACACCCCATATTTTAATTCTCCTACTGTTCTCGATAACCATGATACCCCACATGTATACATTTTCTCTTAATGCAACCCCTAATCCAAGCTTTAATCCGGACCATAATCCCACCACGAAAACATACCCTAAATCCATCTCAGAGGGATTCCCTCTTCTGACATCAGCAGAGTGATTGCAGCATGAAAGAGAAAACTACCTCTCGTGCTGCAGCTCCTACACACCGTGATTGTGCTGGGCAACTGGCAAAGCCCAGCACTTATCCAAGAGCAGGGGGTGATGTCAGCATTACCTATGGGTTAAAACGTGATTAGGACAGGATTATTAAAATTACATTTAGAGGAAGCAATAATTAGAGTCCCCCTCCCCTAAAACAGCAGTCCTACAGCTGTTGGGCAACATAGATATTTTTCACCTGCCATAGATTTTGAGTGGTAACTATATATAGTTCAGCCTCTCTCCTTATAGAAAAACTCAGATACAGCCCATTCAGTTATGGACTCCTTGGTTGAAAGTTACTATATTAGATTATATTAACTCAAGATCCTGGTATGTCTTTAATATCCTGTCTATAGTTTAACAGTCTATCCTGAAGTGGTAAGGAAGCTATAGGCATATATTATCAAAGAGTATTCTTGTACTTACACCTTGCAAGTTTTCATCTGGTTTTTGCCCAAATTGGGGACTTAAAATGTATTTTGCCAGGTTGTTCATCATTGTGGGAGGACCAAGATGTCTACCGGTGTCTGGATAGCGCTGGACGCATGTGTCACCACTCTCGGGCGCTTCCCTTATTACTTGTTTCCTGTGTTTATTCGACTCTACGTATTCCAAGATGGCGACCAGTGTCTTTGGGAGCACTCCGCACATGTGCAAGCACTCTTAGAGGAATTTATTATGACTAACTTACGGTTTCTGTATCTAAATGTATTGTCACCTGTGAATATTTAAAGAGCTCTTAAGGTGGCTCTGATATTAAAGGTGGACCAGACTGAATATTAATGTTTTCTGCCTACTGGTTTTGGATTGTGAAGTTTTTTTCTTCTACAAGGTAAATGTAAGACTTTTTATTCTATCATGTTTCCTTTGACTTATAATATAATTTTATTTAACTATATAATGCTTGATAAATATTTTGTATTAAAAATATCAACCTTACATTGTGGCTTCCTCTTCCTCAAGAAAAAAAAATTAGCAGTAAAAGGTGAGCTTTTGTGACTCTATATTAATATTAATTGCCATTGTCTATACTGTTTTAAAAGTGGCCATATACATTTCCCTACAGTCTGTAAGGAAATTATCATCGCACACAATGGAGAAAGAAAAGAAGTCATGCCTGTGCTTCTCTGGCAATAGAAGGGAAGACTTTTGTAGAGACTGCTTCTATATAATCTCTTATAACGCACATCTACCTCTGCTGATGCTAATTTGGCAGACATAACTTCCAAGGCTGTGGCTGCAGGTATTAAGGAGTCGACTAAAGTTGTTCCTCAAAACTAAGCACAAGAGCAAGAGAAGACCTCTTCAGCTCCAATTCTAATATTAATGCCTAGTAAGAATAATTGTCTTCTGAAGAAGTAGAATCTATGGAATAGCCCTACAGTCTGGATTGGAATTCAGTAGATTCAATTATCATACTCATTAAAGACACGTTAAGAATTCCAAAGGATAAAAGGTGGGTGTAACAGGTCAGACATCTATTTTGCAGACCCGCAAAAAAGAGAAAAGCAACATTTCCTATATATTCAGCCATTAAAGAACTAGTGGAAACAGAATGGCAGAAACCAGAAAAGCACTTATTTACACACTATTAATTCAATATCCCATTTTGGCTGCTAACACAAAAAAAATTTGAATACAGCACCGAAAGTGGATGCTGCCATTATTAGAGTGACAACGAAAATAGTTTTGCCCATTGACAGTGTGGCTTCCAGTAGAAAAACTAACGTGGATACAAATGTAATAAAAACAAACATACACTTTTCTAAGAGCTGCCATTCATCCCTCTATTGCTTTAACCAAACTATCTAAAGTTTTAAGTGAAGACATTGCTAATGGTACAAATAGAGAGACACTATTAGAGACTTCCTAGCATTTGAAATTAGCTACTGATTTTCTGTCAGAAGTATCTGTAGATATTATCAAACGTATTGATAAAGTAATGGGACATGTGGTGGCAGCAATAAAAGCATCATGGCTCAGAACATAGGAAGATAACTCATCTAAAACAAATTTGTGTTTACTTTTATTGCAAGGGAAATTTTTAGAAACCATTAGATGATGCCATATCAAAAGCAGCGGAAAGAAAAAAAAAAACGGCACCTCTTCCACAAGATACAAGGGTCAAAAAGGTATTCAGGTCGATGGGGAAGACACAAAAGAGGCCAACCTTTAGTTTGAGACTCCAGATCCTATAAGCCAGGAAGAAAATACACTAGAACACCCTACTGGAAATGACAACAAGGGCAATCATCAAAAGGTTCAAGTTCATACTGATAGGGCAGGGCCCAGATAAACACAGTTGGAGCCCACCTTGGAAGATTCATTAAACTATGGGCCTTGCATGCCACAGATCATTGGGTTCTCTCGCTTCTAGGAAACTGGTAATATCTAGAATTCAAAGAATAAAAAGTACAAGGCACATCATGGTTAGATCATCGACCTCAAGATCAAAAGAAACTCCTATAAGAGAATGTATTCAAAAACCTTCTATAAGAAGTAATCTGTGCAGGTCCACCAAAAGAGAAATTTCAAAGTATTTATTCTCCAGAATTTCTTGTTCTGAAGAATGATACTACCCTTAGAGGAGTTAAACAAATTTCTAAAGAAAAGAACATGCACGACGGAGAGCTTACAATCCATCCGTCCTTAACTCAAAACATCAGAATGGCTCATCTCTGTAGACCTGCAAGACGCATACTATCACATTACAATCAACACAAAAGTTTTTTTTTTTATGATCTTTAACAAACTTTACCAATTTCAATGAATGCATTTTGGTCCAAGTTCTGCTGGACGATATATTAATAGCAAATTGTTGCCTAATGGAACTAATACAGAGAAATATGGTTATTCAGACATTGCAGGAATTTGGCATCATGGTGAATTTCACAAAAAGCCAACTAGAATCTTTACAGGAAAAAAAATTCCTATGAGCAAGGATCAATAAGAGGACAAACTTGATTTCTCTAACAGAAGGCAGGATAAACAGACAACTAGAGGAAATCAGTTCAGCATTAGTACTTTGGAGTATGTAGGCAACCAAGTATATGAGTCTGCTCAGCACCCTGTCCTTTACGGTACAATTAGGTTGATCAGGTAGGTCCACTGAAACCTCAGACTGGTTTAGGAGAACTTATTGAGTCAATTGAATGAAGCAGAACAGAACTGGCATGGATTTATATACTTGACAGAAGTAAGGCAGACAATGTATTGTTAGATAGAGTGTCACGCCTAGGGTTATTGCACTATGGACTATTATCCTTTAATGTAATTTGGGTAGTGCCTGCCTGATAGAGATGGAATGTTGTCAAGGTCAAAAGGGGTTAATTTGATTGTATGCAAGGTCAGATGGGATTAAGACCCAACTACAGAAGGGGTAATGTAAATTGTATAGGAATGTGAAAAGGGCTTTATCCTATGAATGGATGATTACTCAAAGACTCTACAAGGTTTGAGATTCTACACTGAAAAAGCCGGAATGTCTGGCTCAGCCATATGGTCTGTACTTCTTAATTGATGTGTCAAGCTCTGATAATTAAATGGCCATTAGCCTTGTTCCAGTATCATAAATAAAAGTAAAAACATTTACCCACAGAATAATAATTAAGCCTAATTTTGTTATATTTGGAATGTGACAAGCCCTTCTTCTAAACAAGTCCAAACATCATTGGTTTAACAACCATAGGGGAAGGAATTGTGATGTCTACCACACTGGGTCGCAAGTAAGGTGTACGACATATGTATAGAATGGGAAAATATTATCACATTCGTAGATGCAATTATTATTTCTGTGGCAGGTACATAAGAGAAGATAGAACCAAAATGTTTGAATTTGGATTGATGTTGGTCTGGAACATAAGGGGGTGGTCATTCATTATCTCTATAGATACACCTTAACTCCACCTCTAGACCAGGCATGGTAATCCAAAGGGTATATACCCAAGGATACTGAAATGTCTGTGTACTTGCTTGGTGCCAGAATCTAATTCTAAGTGAGTCACCATCTTTCCTACCAGAGACCCCCTGGGGCAGAAGTATTTAAGTTGAAGAGCTGAGTAAGTGATTAGGACTTTGTTATTTTATCCCTTTTGTTTTTATCTGTTGTTGGTGTAAATAATTTGCTTGTCATCTATATTATTGTATGCACTGTGACTATTTTTTGCTCATAATAAATATTCCTTTATTAAGTTCTGCCTTTGTCTGGTAAAGCATCACGTTACCTGAAGAGACTAATTAGTATTTTTGCAATTCCTTAAATATTGTGCTAAGTTGTATTTAGTCGGTTTTTATTACTGATCTAACTGGGGGATCAAGGCACCCCATTTATAAATTGTCCTGGTGGTGGCAGCGTTAAAATAGTAAGTGTTATATTATGTTTAAGTGTGGCTGTTGTTAAGGGGGATTTTGTCATTTCCAGTCTAATGAAGACATATAGTGAACTTTAACCCCTTTTACCACCACAACTATGTCTCACACACTCTTAAAGTAGGGTGCATTAATGACAGAGGATCACAGAATAACAAGTAGGTTCCCTTATAAAAACCAGAGTGGAAAATTACAATAGATGCCAACGTGAAAGGTTGTGGTGCTCAGTACCAGAATCACCTGGTTCAAGGGATATGGCCAATGAAGAACCTTCAATCAATCAAACATTCTGGAACTCTGGGCAATTTACAAAGCTTTTCCTTCTTTCAAACATCTGCTAAAGAAAATATGGGATAACATTCGAGTAGACAATGTGGTGGCTATGGCATACAACAGCCATCAAGGGGGAACAAGAAGTCAGAGGGTGATGTAAGAAAGAAGACCTATCATAGTTTGGGCCCAACAGAGTATAGGAGGTCTGCCTGCAATCCATTTTCCGGGGAAAATGAGTCGCAATTATACAGAGGAATATAAATTTAATATGGATATTTTTCTGATGATATGCAGCAAATGGGGAAAGTCAGAAATAGATTTTATGGCAATCTACACAAACAAACAACTTCCAGTGTTCTATCCAAAGAGATTCGATCTAAGAGCTCGTCGTCAGTATGCAGTGTCACAAAGGTGGAATTTTCGTTTCGGGAGAGGTTTTCCCCCTTTCCCCAATTCCAAGAATTCTCAAGAAGAAAGGAGGAGTAGAAATGATTGTCGTCCTTTCACACTGGCCTCAAAGTCCTTGGTCGTCCTCCCTTACTCCTTTTGTTGTCACATGAGTTATCAGTCAGGAAGATTCTTCTGTCACAAGATCTGATTCTTCACAACAACACACACTTATTACAGCTGAGGGCCTGGTGATTGAAAAGATATCCTAAAGGCTAAATGTTTGTAAGATAAAGTCAAAACAAACAATGCTTAAATCCAGAATATTTACCATTTCCAATGTTTATTATAACATTTAGAAATCTTACTGCAACCTTGTAAATCCTCTAGAAAGTGCAGTTGCTCTTCAAGACTTACTGAAATTCATTTTAAAAAAAAAGCATGGCTAAGGTTTAAGCCAGAGTTATCTTAAGGTGCAAATTTCAGCATTCTCAGCAATTACAACGCCCAATGGGATTAAGACCCAACTATTAAGCAGTTTATGAGAGGAGTTTTGAGAATCTGCCCTCCTATAAAGATTTTTGTTCAGGCCTGGGATCTTCATACTGTGCTCTATTGAAACGTGTGGAATCCTTCTATTTATAGGACATGACCCTGAAATAGGTTTTCCTCTACAGCTCCATTTGAACGTGTGGAATCCTCCTCTTTATAGGACATGACCCTGATGTGTTTTCCTAATTGCCATTGCTTTTGCATTTAAGCATCAAATTCAGGCATCATCAGATGTTCCTATTACCCAATTCATGGGGGGATACGACAGTGCTTTGCCCAATTTCAGAAGTCTTCACAAAGATTGTCTCCAAATTCCACATTAACAAGGAAATGGTGCTTCATTCCTTTTCCCCAAATCTCTGACGAAGAGAATTTATGGCACAATCTTGATGTTGTGAGAGCATTGAAAATTTATCTGAATAGAACTAAAGCAGCTAGAAAAACAGACTTTTCATCATTCCATTTGGATGCTACAAAGGTTTGTCTGCTTCAGTCTCTACTATCAAACATTGGATTAAATCTGCTATTCAAAAGAGCTTATAAAGTCGCAGGGATGTCAATCGCATAGGGCATCAAGGCTCACTTTACTAGGGCTATCTCTGCATAGTCGGTGGATACCTCTATGGATGAAATTTAAAAGGCTGCAGCTTGATCCTCATCCAACACATTTGTCAGACACCATCATCTGGAGGTCACATAGGCACTTACCTCCTCCTTTGAATGTGGAATACTAAATGCTGATGTGTCTCATTAATAAAAATTTTTTGGCAACTACTTTGTCATCGTTTTTTTTTTCCACCCATATAAACTTTGGACATCCCACAGGTTATGCTCACATGGATTAACCAGGAAAACAGATTTTTTTTTTTTTAAATACTTACCATAATTGTCTTTTCCTGGCCAATATCCATATCAGAATCAATAGTTTCCCTCCCTGGTCTGGTCTGTTGACTTAGCTATGTGGATGTTGTTTTAGGGGAGGGAACTCTTTTAGCTTCCTTTAATTTTAATATTCCTGTCCTAATCAGCTGAGTGATGCAGACATGGGTATTGCCAAAAAAATAAAATTACGGTATGTATTTAAACACTTTTTTTGCTTTGATAACCTTAGGATAAAATGGACAGCTTTGGGGGGGTGGGGGAGGTGGGGTAAAGCAGCGTTGCAGAATCTTTTCATCTTGGGTATTTTGATGCAAAGATAGCATATCTAATATTAATTTCTCAGTTAAGTGCAAACACTATATTGTTAATGCCAGTAATATATTTAGAAAACAAAAATAATAGTGCAATGCCTTTAAATACTCCATGATTAGCTATGATCCGGGTCTTAAAGGATCACTATAGGATCAGGAACACAAACATGTATTCCTGACCCTATAGTGTTATAAACACCATCTAGCCCCCTTGGGCCCCTCGTGCCTCCATAAATATAGCAAAATCTTACTTGTATTTAAGCCTGAAGCTGTAACTCTGCATGTTGTTTGATTAACCCCTTAAGGATACAGCTTCTGAAATAAAAGGGAATCATGACGGAATATTTCCGTTGTGTGTCCTAAAGGGGTTAAAAAAAAAAACAAAACAAAAAAAACCCAAACAGTCTGCTGACATCATCAGAAGTGGTAGCCTGATTCAATCACAATGCTTCCCCATAGGATTGGCTGAGACTGACAAGGAGGCAGATCAGGGGCAGAGCCAGCATGATTCAAACACAGCCCTGGCCAATCAGCGTCTCCTCATAGAGATGAACTGAATCAATTAATCTCTATGAGGAAAGTTCAGTGTCTGCATGCAGAGGGAGGAGACACTGAATGTTTGGATGCATTTTAGGCAGCCATGACCCAGGAAGGATCTCTAACAGCCATCTAAGGAGTGGCCAGTGAAGTTATCAATGGCTCTAATGTAAACACTGCATTTTCTCTGAAAAGACAAAGTTTACAGCAAAAAGCCTGAAGGTAATGATTCTACTCAACAGAACAAATTCAATAGGCTGTAGTTGTTATGGTGACTATAGTGTCCCTTTAAATGGGGATAAAAAAACAAAAAAAACACACACACACAAAAAGAGGCAACTTACCAAGAGCTAACCACACCATAAATCGAATCCATGTCATGTAGTTCAGTTTAAGCATGAGATATACATTCAAAAGTATACTCGTAGCAGGAATCAGTGGGACTAATGGGACCTGGAAAATGAAAATAACAGAATAGGTTTTTAAAAACATGCCTATGTCAATATTAACCAACCCTAATTAACAGACAGGTTAGATGATTAATCAACAGTTGAATGTTGCTGGAACTTAACTGAATAGGGAAAGAGATTGATATTTTAGATCTGGACTTTGTTTATGGTAATTTAGGTCCATTTAGCTCATATTACCACCCATTAGAGCAGAATTAACCATAAGGCAACATTAAGCAGTTTACCAAATCTGGGATGTTCTATCAGCAGATTCCAGTAAAATGCAAGTAAGTAAAAATGATAGAGAAACAATTGCATTTTACTGAGAGCTGCTGACAGAACATCCATTGAAGATAGGCTCTAAACTCTGCAGCCTTTTAAAAGTTAAGTCCCTTCTTCTACAATTAAGCGCTGCACTCACACTTTATAGATTAGGTAGGGGTGTATCACCTTAATATACAGTGCATATTTGGTATACTATTTGTTTGGTGAGTTATTTGGAGTGTCCATAGAGTGATTACAGCTGCTGTACAAAAAAAATCCAAAAAAAAATAAAAAAAAAATCACATAAATAATAAATAAGTGCCACACATTTCACACTAGTTTTCAATTTTTCTTAACATTAGGAAGTTGCCCAGGTGTTAGATTGGGGACTCTTGCCCCATTCACCATCTCTATGTGGTGAAAGACGGGGGGGGGGTGGGTCGGGGGAGAGAGCCCAACAAACGGGTTACTCGCCTAGACGTCATATTCCGGCTCCCGAGGGAGCTGAGCAGACATCTCAGGGGAAGACATCTCCCTCACCAGCGTCACCCGACCGGCAGCCCCAGGGAGAGGGAGAAACCCCCCCAGCATTCCTAAAGGTAAGGAGGCTGGGGGGGTTAAATACATTTTTTTTAAAAAGTGAGTGTATGAGTTTGTCTGCTAGTGTGTGTCTGTTAGTGTGTTTGTCTGCTAGTGTGTGTGTGTCTGACAGTGTGTTTGCCTGTGTGTGTGCGCGCGTGTATTTAGAATGCGGGTCAGGGGGGAGTGGCGCCTGAGTTTTGTCCTGCCTAGGACAGCACAAAACCAGGATACACCACTGCACATGACTGGGTAGTTAACTTAAATGGGTACACATTATTTAGGAAGCATAAGAAAAGCAAGAAGGGTGGTGTGGTATGTTTGTATGTCAACCATGAGTTAAAGTCAAATCTTAGGCATGTGAAGTGTGACGAAGAAAATGTGGAAGCTTTATGGGTAGAGGTCTGCTTGGGGCAAACAAAGGGAAATCAATTATTGGTTGGCATATGTTATAAACCACCTAATGTAAATATTAATGAGGAAGTACAGCTGTTAGAGCAAATTGAGAAAGCTGCAAATCGGGGTAACACATTAATAATTGGAGATTTTAATTATCCGGGCATACATTGGGATAGAGTGACTAGTACTTCATCAAGGGGAATCAGGCTTTTTAATGTGTTAAATTCATGTCACAACTGGTACAAGCACCAACTAGAAAGGATGCTTGTCTGGATCTTGTTATAACAAACAATGTTTTGACCAACATTCAAGTAGGGGAGCATTTGAAAAATGGTGATCACAATATGGCAATTAAAAAAATTCAAAAAAGCAAATGCACATGGGGTATACTAAAACATATAATTTAAAAAAAAAAACTATTTCAATAATATTAGGGCAGCTCTACAACATATCGAATGGCATTAACTCCTTATAGTGAAAAAAACACTGCGGATAAATGGAAACTATTCAAACAAATATTGGAAAGGTACATTTCTCAGTATGTACCATTGGGTAATAAATATAAAAGAAACAAAGTGAAACCAATGTGGCTTAGTAGAGAAGTAAAACAAGAGATAAAAAGAAAAGAGCATTTAAAAATCTGACAAATCAGAGGCAACCTGTATAAGATATAAGGCAGAAAAAAAATGCTTGCAAAAAGGCAATTAAAGTGGCTAAGCTAGAAAATGAGAAATTGATAGCCAAAGAATGCAAAACCAAACCCAAATGTTTTTCAAGTACATCATTTCTAAAAAAAAAATTTTTTAAAAATAAAATGAAAATAAATTAAAGTGTAGGTACACTGGAAACAGAGATGGGTCTGTTAGCTAATGAAGACCAGGAAAAGGCAGACATTTTAAATTACATTTTCTTCAGTATAGATTAATGAGAATCCAATGCAAGAGATATGCAAATGATTGCTGAAAAAAAAAAAAAAAACTACTGATAACTTGTGATTGGTGCTACAGCAGTTAAAGAAAATGTAAATAACGTTGTGGGGCCTGACTGTTTCACCCACGAGTACTTAAGGAGCCAAGTGGGGAAATAAGTGAACCTCTGTATTTAATTTTTCAAGATTCTTGTGTTTCAGGTATAGTATCAGATTGGAGGAAGTACTTCCAGGAAATCCTTGCCTGGAAATTATAGACCTGTGAGCTTAACTTCTGTGACTGGGAAAATATTTGAAGGGCTAATAAGGGATAATATTCAGGAATTCATTGGGAAGAACTTTGTTATTAGCAATAATCAGCATGGTTTTATTAAACATAGGTCATGTCAAACTAACCTAATTGCATTCTACAAAGAAGTATGTAGAAGTATAGATCAGGGTGTAGCAGTGCATGTGATCTACTTGGATTTTGCCAAGGCATTTGATACGGTTCCTCACAATAGGTCAGTCTTCAAACTAAAAGAAATTGGTCTAGATGAATATTCTTGTTCTTGGGTAGAACATTGGCTTAAGGACAGAGTACAACAAGTTGTCATTAATGGTAAATTTTCAGGATGGACAAAAGTGGTAAGTGGTGTCCCTCAGGGTCATTAATGGTAAATTTTCAGGATGGACAAAAGTGGTAAGTGGTGTCCCTCAGGGTTCTGTTTTGGGACTGCTTCTATTTAACATTTATAAATTATCTTGATAAAGGCATTGAAAGCCATGTTTCAGTGTTTGCAGATGACACAAAACTTTGTAAAGTAATAAAATGTGAGTAGGATATGGTTTTGCTGCAGAGGGATTTGGATAGATTGGGGGACTGGGCACTAAAATTGCAAATTAAATTTAATGTAGAGAAATGCAAAGTTATGCATTTCGGGGTCAAGAATGCACAAGCAACTTACACCTTAAATGGTAGTGAATTAAGGAAAATCACACGAGAAGGATTTGGGAATTGTTATAGACAACAAATTAGGCAGCAATATGCAATGACAATCTGCAGTTGCTAAGGCCAGTAAAGTTTAGTCATGTATAAATAGGGGCATACATTCTCTGGATGAAAATATAATTTTGCCTCTTTATAAATTGCTAGTAAGACCACAACTTGAATATGCTTTGCAATTTTGAGCACCTGTTCTAAAGAAAGATATCATGGCACTAGAAAAAGTGCAGAGACGAGCTACAAAATTAATAAAAGGAATGGAGCATTTTAGTTATGAAGAAAGGTTCAAAAAAATTTAAATTCAAATATATTCAAGGGCCAGTACAAACCATTATCTGGAAATCTATTCATAAACAGGGCTATACATAGGACACAAGGTCACACATTTAAGCTGGAAGAAAGGAGATTTCATCTAAGGCAAAGAAAAGTTTGGAATATGGAATTCTCTGCTTGAAGAGGTGGTTTTATCAGAGTCCATACAGATGTTTAAACTGCAATTGGATAAATACTTACAAAAACATAACATACAGGGATATCATTTATAATTAATGGGGTAATAGCTGCTTGATCCAAGGACACATCTGACTGCTATTTTGGGATCAAGAAGGATTTTTTTCCTAGTTTGTTGCAAAATTGGAAGCGCTTCAGACTAGGTTTTTTTTGCCTTCTTTTAAGTACGCTCCCGTACTCAAACAATTCGGTATTCAAACAAAAATATATTTGAGAAAAAAAAAAAATATCTCGGTATTAGAACAAAATCACACAGCATTAACCTCTATGGTTCCACTTATAAAACTCGTTGGTAGGACGCATCGGTCTCCTAGCACTAGACAAAGTTAACAGAGCTCCATTCTGTCTGTGACCAGAGCTCCATTCTGTCGGCAAACAGAGCTGAAGTAACAGTTTCATTTCATTTACATTGTGTTTATTGGTTTTCTGTATGATTTTATGCATTTAAGGCATTATTAAACTGTAAAATGTGTGTTAAAATGCTGTACTATTGGGGGTCTGGAATGGATTAATCTAATTTACATTAATTCTTATGGGAAATTTTGATTCGGTTTTCGAACAACTCGGTTCTCAAACAGCCTTCTGGAACGGATTGAGTTCGAATTCAGAGGTTCCACTGTATATTTTAACTATTTTTTATCATATACATCACTTGAGAACCCCATCTGTCGCCTTATCTATTTTTCCCTGGGTTCCTGTCATGGTGAACCAAACGGACACCTCCAATACATCTTATAAGTGTGGATTATACCACCACACGCTAGAGCTGGCTAAGACTCTATAAAATGTGAGTGTGATACTGTAATTTTTTTAATTATATAACTAGATTTGATGTATTACACTATTTCCGCCCTTTCAGCTTTTGTCTTCCTATATACACACACACACACACACACATCAAGAAAATAAAGACAGCTGCCCTACCCAAAGAAAAGTCCTGCTGTACTAAGGACTAAAATGTCTACGATCAAGAGACTATTATTTGTGAGGACGATCACATGGACTTATTTCTTGCTTGTTCCAAATATCTATTTTTTATTGTCTATTCGCACAGCCCTTTATCTTATTATTTTTGTATATTCTCTAAAGGGTTTAGAGGGATTGCCCCTTTAGGGTTGCTGCCTTTTTCTATTGATTAATGCTGAACCATATTTTTGTATTAAACCGTATAAAGCTGCAAGAAAAGGCCAGTCATATTATGTCAAAAATACAATTATTAATTCATATAAGTAAAGTGCATGTTTCATTTAAATGCATTTCTATAGCAGAAATTAACCTCAATTTACATAGATAGTACTTGTCATTGCACAAAATCTGTTTCATGTATTGTGATTTACCTCAAATGTTGCAATTTTCTTCTGTTGTTCATGGACCCAAATAAAAAACAGACTGACTAAAAACCCAATCAAAAATATAACAAGTAGTAAATAAAAACACCACGTGGGGAGATGTAAATGAGTGGTTCCAAATACTAGAATGGAACACAAACATATGGAGAATACCATCATCAACACCACTGCTATGGTGACTACCTCCCCAGGATAAAAGTCACTCAAAAACTTCAAGTATGGCTCAAAGACTGCTTTTAGGTGTCCAGTTTCTCTTCTTTCCTTAGCTTTTTTCTGAGTCTCTACCAGCTGGAGTTTATCTGAAAAGGACTCATATTCCTTCATTTCCTCTCCAACAATCCTTTCACCAGCAGCTCTAATGTCTAATGGTTGGGGTTTTGGTTCTTGGTCTTCTGGGTGGGACTGTTCTGTTTTGTCTTGCTGGAATCTCAACACAATAATACTTGCTGCAACAAAAGTGTAGGCCAGAAGTGTGCCAATAGACAGAAACTGCACTAGAGCTTCCAGATCAAAGATAAGGGATAAAAATGCCATCAAAATTCCAAAAACTACAATGCCAATGATTGGTACTTTGGTGGTTGGGTTTACTTTGGCGAAAAACTGAAAAAATAAGCCATCTTCTGCCATTGCATAGGCAATCCTTGGGAGGGAGAAAAGATTACTCAGAAGAACAGTATTCATTGCTAGAAAAGAAAGTGTGAGAACAATTAGTGCTGGTAAAAGACATGTACAAAATAGCAATGTAAATTACCTATATTCACAATCAGTTATTAAAACATCTTATCTAATGAAAATGCTGTGGCATCATAAAACATACTAACGCCAGCAATGTAAAGCATGGATCCAGGATGCCATTTAAGCAGGTCAACAGGACCAGTCTATAAAGAAGTGACCCACCATAAATGGGGGATTGTTAACCTAGAGGCTGGCTAAGAGCCACTCTGGCTGCCTCCATTCAGGGATATACATATGCAGACTGTTCTTGAAGCGCTCTGCAATGGGCTTAGTGCCGTGACAAATACTCTGCACAGCTAGAGATTCTATTTTGGAACATTTTCATGGTGTCCCCATTTGGTGGACATCATTGAACAAATCCAGTAAAATGAGACAAGGATCCTAAATTCAATGTGTTCCTGCTGGGACAGTTGGGAGGTATGCCTGTCACCAGTGCCAAAATGTGAAGAAAAAAAAAATTGGGAAGGGTTGGAACAGAAACTGTGTGTGTTGTGTCATCAGCAATGACAAGAACCCCACCTTTAAAGTGAGCATGTTAGTTCAATGCCCTGCATGGAGTCCTACTTAAGAGCACTCATGTGTAAAAGTCCCTGTGTTTGTACTTCACAGATCAAGCAAATTTAATGACACACTTGCATAAGTGGGATACCAAAGGACAAAAGGTCCAGGAAAGAGTATTGTGCATGTGTTTGGTGGCTGCTTGTAGTGTAATGTTTTGTGTAAATGTGTTGATTTAAGTGGTGTTGTGCTTGTGGTGTAATATGAGGCCTGGGGCTGCAATTTATAGGGGCTGTAGAGACTGAGAGTATACGTGTCATGTAGCAACTGTGCACATAGATTAGAGGGCAGTAGAGAGTGTGTTAAGGGAATGTAGTGAGTGTTTGCATATAGGGGACCAAGTGTGTACCTAGGAGATGTAGTGTGTGTAGGGGGATCTACTGCTTGTCAGGAATGTACTCAGTGGCTTACCTACCAGTGCCGCAAGGGGTTTCAGCTGCGACTGCTGCGATCGTGGGCCGCCTAGATACTGCCCCCCGTGTTCTCACTGTCATCAGGGCGCCCAAGAGGTGGCCCACTGGCCACCTAATGGACCCCCCCGTCGGGCGGCAGAGTTCCTGTCAGACACAGCGAGGGAGCTGTGTTTTCTCTGCTCTGCTCCCTCGCGCGCAGTTTGCTGATGCGGGGAGCTGGAATATGACATCATATTCTGGCTCCCGGCATCAGTAGACAGCCCGCAAGGGAGCAGAGCAGAGAGAACATAGCTCTCTCGCCGCATCTGACAAGAACTCTGCTGCCCACCGCACTGAAGCCCCACTGGACCCAAAAGGACAGATCCACGCCAGCTCTCCAGGTAGGGAGGCTGGGTGGACATTTAATATTAAATATTTGTCTGTGTCTGTAAGTGTGCATGTGTCCAGGGACGTATTACCCACGAGGCAAACAAGGCATTTGCCTTGGGCTGCACTTTCCAGGGGGCAGCAAAAAAAAGCTGTCCCCAAATGCCCAGGCAAATGTCTTGTTAGCCTGGTGGCTTACAGACAATCCGGGCGGGCAGGCAGCGCTGGCGAGGGAGCACGGATTAGTGAGCTGTCTCTGCTCAGCTCCCTCATGCGCCATAGAGTGATGTCGGGAGCCGGAATATGATGTCATATTCCAGCTCCCGGCATCACTCTGCGATGTGCGAGGAAGCTGGAGTGAGAGTGTGTGTGTGTGTGTGTGTGTGTGTGTGTGTGTATTTAGAAGAGTGGGTGGCAGGGGAAGGGGCGCCTGAGTTTTGTCATGCCGAGGGCAGCACAAAAACAGGATACACCACTGCGTGTGTCTGTGCGTCTCTCTTAGTGTGCGTGTTTGTGTCTGTATGTCTGAGTGTGTGTATATGTTTCTACATGTGTCTGTATGTATGGGTCTGTGTGTGTGTGTGTGTTTCTGTATGTATATCTGTTTGTCTGCATGTGGGGGATGGGCAGGGACATGTGGGGTAGGAGGTAGCTGTATGTGGGGCCCCAGGGCAGTTTTTGAAGCGGGGCCCAGTGGTTTCTAGTTACACCTCTGAATTTATTGTGAGTGTAGGTGGTGCAATATGTGTCAATAATGTATCTAGTGTGCCTAGGGAATTCAGAGTATGTACAGTAGATGTGTGTATCTAGTATGTATGGGATATCTAGTGCATGTCAGGACAGTACGGTGTGTGTAGGTGGTGCAGTATGTGTCTATACTGGATCTAGTGTGTGTGTAGGGGTGCAATGTGTCAATGTGTTGGGTGTGATAGGGACTATTTGTGTGGTGTGAGGGTGAGATGAAAGCAAATTAATTTATATAGTTATTTATTAATGTTAATATAGCATTTACGTTGCAGGTTGCGTTCACTCTTCTTGCGAGCGATTGCATTGTGATGCATTGGCTACTGCCTTGGAAACCCGCAGCAATGCGCTGAACTGTCAGAGCTTGCAGGACTAATAGTTTGACTGTACCAGTCAGAAAAGTTAACCGATCTTCGATCTCCCCACCAGCCTGTAAAAGCACAAAACAAGACCAACACTTGGATAGCACCTGCCCTGAATTGGTCAGCAGCGGAGATCCTTTGATCTCCCCTGTTAAACTCAGCTCATGGCAATTTTGGCCCACCGATATTTGCCTGGACCTGTCTGTCACCCACATATGAGTGTATGAGTTAAATTGCTTCAGACCAAAAAAAAAGGGGACGCCTACATATTGTACTACTCAAACTCATAGTAAACATAAAAAAAACAAACATGTGATGCATTGGGAGGTCACTCTAGTAACACACAGTTATTTACTAAAGTGGAAATTGCTGAAAATGTGTACTAGTATGTGTTACTTCTTACTTAAGGAGCACTATAGGGTCAGGAACACAAACATGTATTCCTGAACCTATAGGGTTAAAATGACCATCTAGCCACCCTGGTCCCCTCATGCCTCCCTAAATATAATACAATCTTACTTGTATTCAAGCCTGAAGCTGCTGACTTTATCCTTGTTTCCTTTAGACCTGCCCACTGCCATCAGCAGAAGTGGTAGCCTGATCCAATCACAATGCTTCCCCATAGGACTGGCTGAGACTGACAAGGAGGCAGATCAGGGGCAGAGCCAGCACAATTCAAACACAGCCCTGGCCAATCAACATCTCTTCATAGAGATGAATTGAATCAAGGCATCTCTGAGGAAAGTTCAGTGTCTGCATGCAGAGGGAGGAGACACTGAATGTTTGGATGCATTTTAGGCAGCCATGACCCAGGAAGGATCTCTAACAGCCATCTGAGGAGTGGCCAGTGAAGTTATCACCAGGCTGTAATGTAAACACTGCATTTTCTCTGAAAAGACAGTGTTTACAGCAAAAAGCCTGAAGGTAATGATTTTACTCACAAATTCAATAAGCTGTAGTTGTTACTATATAGTGTCCCTTTAATCTGTGAACCAAATGTCATGAAAATGTGCCTATCAGTGTTCTATAAAGTATATACATAATATTTGTATGTATATATATTTTAAAGTACACTTATTGGCCCTTTTGATTAATGTGAATAGATTTTGTGAAACTATTGCATGGACGAATCACAAATCCATCAAGTCATTTCTCCCCCAGCTGAACCATATTGCCTAATGTGTCTTATAAGCAATATAGTCAAACACATCATCAAATGTTCCAACCAAGAGATACATTTTCCACGTAGTAATTACATGCTTAAACTTACCACAGATGGAACCAGCAGCAACAATAAATCCTGCCCATGAATAGCCACGTCTGTAAAATGCATCAGAAAGAGCAGAATCTGGCACAAGGGAGTTCCAAGGTACCATTAATGTTAATACTGCGGACACCAAAACATAGATTGCTGTTGCAAGACCCAGAGAGACAGCTGTTGCAATTGGAACAGCTTTTTGAGGGTTCCTGGCTTCCTCTGTGGATGCTGCTATGACATCAAAGCCAACAAAGGCATAAAAGCATGTGGCAGTGCCAGACATGACACCAGAGAATCCATAAGGAACAAAACCACCATATTCATTACCCCAGTTTTTTGGTTCTGCAAGGATGAAGCCAAAGATTAGAATGAATAGAATGATTGCCATACTGATACCAGCAAAAATGTGGTTAAGCCATGAGGACACTTTGGCTCCAAAAGAAATTAATGCAGTGGCAATCAGCAAGATTCCTGCAGCTAGGAAATCAGGATAATGCGCTAGGAATGGGACATTCCAAGAACCAATGTGGGTTTCAGTATAGTTTTTTATTTTGTGATCAAACATGGAGTCCAGATAGCCACTCCATGCTCTTGCCACTGCCGCTCCACCAATCATATATTCCAGTATTACATTCCATCCGATCAGAAAGGCCCAAATCTCACCAACAGAAACATAAGTAAACATATAGGCAGATCCAGTCTTTGGCACTCTTGCACCAAACTCGGCATAACAAAAAGCAGCTAGCAAGGAGGCAAAGCCAGCGATAAGGTATGATAGGATGACAGCTGGACCTGCTATCTCTTTAGCAACTGTACCTGTTAGTACATACAGGCCAGACCCAACCATACCACCCACACCTAAGAGGGTAAGGTCAACCGTGGACAGGCATCTTTTCAGCGATGTTTCCATTAAGTCATCTTCCAGCGTCTTAACTCTATTTAGTTTGTGACAGAAGCGAACCATGGCTGCACCGGAAGGTAGATGATTTCCCATTTTTGCAGGTGAAGGTACTTTTCTGAACCAGACAATATAGCTTATCGGGCTATAATAATTAGTCCATAGGTTTGATACTCAAGATCTATAAAGTCTAAAAAAATAAATAAATAAAAATTTTAAGTATATATTTTCATTCTATAGAAATTTTAACATACATTAGAATACCTAATCACGTCCTTCTTAAAAATATTGTAAAATATTAAGAAAACATGAGAAAAACAAAATGTATGGGCTATCTACTTCCCTTCATAGCAATAGAGTACACAAATGTATTAATGGAGAATTAGAGTTGATAAAAATGTAATTAAATATTTACAAAATATAAAAAGCATCAATTTTTTTTTAGCAGTTCCTAAAAAATTAGAGAAAGACAGTAATAGTAGAATGTAGGAATAAAAAGCAAATAGATAAAGACACAAAAGATAAGGAAAGAAAGGATGGACAATGACATGTAAAAAAAATAAGCTGTTTGTGTTGTGTTAGTAAATGCCCATTTCAGATGAATAAATCGTTAAATATTAAAATTAAATGTCAATGTGTTATAGGTACACAATTATAATTATTACTACCAGTTTCATAATGAGGCAGATAGATCATTGACTTTAGGAATACATCTGAACAAGTAATTGGGTTTAAATAATTAGCGCAGGAAAACTTTTCTGCTTTGGATACTCATTAATGTTATAATTCAGAGATTCATACTTTACAATTTATTTTCTAAATTGGAATTATCTTTTTTTGGCTCCTTAATAATAATTATAATGTGAACGATAGAAAATCACTTTAAATGGTATGTTAAAGAACACTCCAAGCCTGTTGTAGTTGTTATGGTGCAATGAGTAGCCTGGTGCCCACATATGACAGGAGCGTATTCACTGGCTAAGGGAGCTCAGCTGATACTATTAGCCAAAGAGCACAGTCCTGTGTCGCCCCACTTTACTCCATGGAGCAATTCAGATTCTCCTGAAGACGAAATGCAGGGGATGCAGATGTGGGTGCTTGGTAGGACAAGTATGTTGCAAAACCAATCTAAAAATGGTTTGACATTTTACTATGGGACAGCTCCAAGGTACTCCTAACACTACCAATACAGTCTCCTGTACTAGTGTTGGCACTTGGAGTGTTCCTTTAAAAGAACATTTTACAATGATCTGAGTCAACAAGCTAAAATAGTTCTAACTTGACAATCAAAAAATGCTAACAAATCACTGTTAATTAATAAATTACTACTACTGCCAAATATTTAAGTTTTTTTGTTCTATATTAACGTATGCCTCCCAACATGTCTAGGTATACTTAGGATGCTGCTGATATATAAATACATTTTACCTTGTCATAATCCAACAGGCTTTTTACTTCCTTTATGCCCTGTAAAATACATATATTAAAAAAATAAAAAATAAAAAAAATAAAAAAATAAAAAAAATTTCAATTATACACACATGCACATGCAATATATATGTAATTATGTAAACATACACATACATACACACACTGAGCTACTGGGAAATAAGCATATGAAGGAAAAATACAAAGTCAATACATCATAAAGTTTGATCCACATTTCTTCCTTACATAGAAATAAAACAACCAGAACTCTCTCAGCTCTAAGCAAGAAAGCAGCAAGGTTAAAAAAATGGTTTCTGAAGCTTTAGCAACTGTGCTGTATACCACATCAGTGCATTCAAAGCAAACTTTACAAGTGTTCTTATTAACCATACGTGTTTTCTAGATTAAGTTGTGAATGTGTGTGTCTGTATGTCTGTGTGTGTGCGTGTGCGAGCATGTCTGGGAGTATATGGGGTGTGTCTGATTGTGTGTCAAATTAGTGAGAGTCTCTGATTATGTGACTATCAGTGTATGTCTATGTCAAATCAGGGAGTCTGTGTTTGTCATTGAATGTATGTGTGTGACTATAAGTGTGTATCTGTCAATGTGTGTCAATGACGTCTGCCTGCCATTGTGTGTGTGTGTGTGTGTGAGACTGTCAGTGTGCATCTGCCAGTGAATGTGTGTCAGAGCGTGTGCACTATAGGAGCCCAGACCACTTCAGCTCATTGAAGTGGTGTGGGTGCAGTGTCCCAATATCTTTAACCCTGCAAGTGTTTCTCAGAAACAGCAATAATTACTTTGAGGGGTTAACTGCACCTCTAGTGACGGTCTACCAGACAGCCACTAGAGGGACTTCAGGGTGGTTAGGCGACCAAAAGTTTTCTTTGAAAAGGCAGAGTTTACACGAAAATGCCTGAAGGGAGCTATTATACTCACCAGAACAACTACATTAAGCTGTAGTAAACAAAACAAATAAAGCATATGGAGGGACAACATACATTTACTGTTTTCAGAGAAATTCTAAATGTTTTTGTAATTATATTGAGCAACTGAAACATTAAACCATATAATTGATTACTAAAAATATTTGAATCTTACATTATAACAGAAGCCATATGTATGTTTTAGGTAAAAATATAAAAAAATAAATAAAATAAAAAAAGTATGTAAGCAATTTGCTATTCATAATCAAAATATATATAATATTAAATGTAAAAGATGATTGGGGTCATTAATAACTAGATTGAAAGGGATACAGGAATAACACATAGTCTTCACTTGACTCATATAAGCAAAGTGATCATCTCTTAAAAGATATTGAATAAAACCTGTGTCCCATGCATAGTCTCCCCCTCTTATCAGTGGGATCCATCCTTGCTCTAAACACGTTCCTCTAACATGGAATTCAATTTTGCATTTTTCACCCAATATCAGGCACTCCTTGACTCCTGCATATCACATTGTTTTGGATAAGCATTCTCTAGGTATTTCTTATATTCACGCTCTGTCAGTGCTGGAGTTCTGAAATCTATAACCTTCCCTGTTGGCGTTCAACCAAATTATTTCTCAATATTTAAGCTAAAACCGTAAGAGAATGTTACCCAATGCCTTTTTTTTGTATCAAAAAGACTTATAAATTCAAAGTGGATTTCAAATTTAAGTCCAAACTAGCTGAATTCATTAACTGTGCTTCCAGATCAGTTACCTTGGCCTAACATTTGAAATTTACTTTGAATTCTCACTTTAATGGCTATGCCGGTTTGTTTCTCAACTATGAATACATTTAGATTTTTGTAATGGCATAAGATGAGCTAAAACCAGCTTGAGATCTGAGCAGGGACCCACCGAAGTGCAGGCTATGTGAGCTTTTGTCCGTTCTCCATATTCTCTTGCACTTTGTTTTTGCTCTCGGCTAAACCTCACGGACAATGCCCAACAAGATTGAAACAATCATCTGGGGGGCTGTATCGCTTGTGCAGAGAGAGCCGGCCTGCATTATGGATCTGCTCTGCCCTTTTCAGTGTGATTAGTCTGATATTATTATTATTATTATTATGATATTTATAGAGCGCCGTCAAATTCCGCAGCGCTTTACAATGGGTGGATGAACAGACATGTAGTAGTAACCAGGCAAGTTCGACACACAGGAACAGAGGGGTTGAGGGCCCTGCCCAACGAGCTTACATGCTAGAGGGAGTGGGGTATAGTGACACAAAAGGTAAGGGAAGTATTAGACTCATAACAGTTACAAGAGAGGAATCAGTCGGGAGCTATTAACAGTTTAATTGAAATGCTTTTATGAAGAAGTGGGTTTTTAACGATTTTTTGAAGGAGTGGAGACTGGGTGAGCATCTAACGGAGGAGGGAAGCGAGTATATGCACAAGGCCTGGTTCTTTTTGTAATGGCACAAAAAAAAAAAAGAGCTTGAGCTCTGAGCGGGGACACAGCGAAGGCAGGCTATTTAAGCTGTTGTCAGTTCTCAGAACTCTCTTGCACTCCCCATCATGCATCTTACATACTCTGTGCCATATGGCGATAGATACAACTATTAAACATGCTATCTTGAGCAATATTACAATCTCATAGTTGTGTAAATGAATACGAAGAACTAAGAATAAATGAATAAATACAAATGCATGAGCCAAGATGGACACATCAGACTATGCAAACATCTGATTACAAATACGTGATGTATACAGATCTGCTAATTGAATAGAACAGAATGCTTGGTGAAGCTCAAGACAGTTGCACTACAAGAGTCTCACTCAATCATTCTTCGTTAAACACATCAGTTCAGCAGATTGTCACAAACCCTTAAATCTTATTTTTTTGTTTTGATTTATTTATTTTTAACCCTACAGACTGTGTGGCTAAAGCAAGCTCTTTTTTCGTCTCTGATCTACTGCCATCTGTTGTGTTTCCACCAAGTTGTAGACATGAGAACAGCTAATCAGTCTAACCCTTTCCTGCCACAAACCCTGTGGCTGAATATAACTCTTTGCTTGCCACTAGCTGTGACCTGTACACTTGCCGTTAACATTTCATTTTCCAAGTCTGCTCTAAGTCTGTAAATAACACCCAGTTAACAAATAACACCCAGTTCCAGACCAGCGATACCCTTTCAGTGCAGACAGGCAGTCGAGACTACTGGCTTATTTTTAATGCAATTATGTTACTATTGTCCCTTTACATAAGTGATAAAAAGCTTTCACCAAGTCACATACAGTGTCTATGTATTGTGCATGTGGCAACACTTACATAATATTTACACAACTTCATTTACGCATAGTTTTATAAATTGCAACCCTTTGATTCCAGGACAATATATATTTTATTACATATAAAAATAAATATTTGCCACAAATAAACAAAAACAGCATTTGAAACCATTTTAAAGGAAACAAGTGGTGATATGCTTCATTGCTTTTGCAAGAAGGTTTTCCAACTGGCTAGATACATCCTGGCATCATGTGTTCAGTAATGAACTTGATAAGTCGGGAGAGTCAGGTCAGTGAGCCTGGATGTGTGCCAGTCTGTACAAAATTCTCATGAACCAAGCTAGCTGCTTTTTGTGGTGAACAGAACCTCGCCACGGGCTCCTGGAGGAGCCTGCTTGCTTGCCTCCTGCCTCAGGACTATAGGCCCTGTAATATACCTTGCCCAATGCACTTTAAAAGGCTCTGTTCCGGTGGTTTGTTAACTTTTGTACTCCAGAAAGCGAGACTGACCGTTAGCCTTGATTCCCTGGATCTGTTTTGGTCATAGGACCATGTTCACAGTCGGTCAAAATTATGACTTCCATGGAAACCCTGAACCGATCTGGGTGATTTTTGGATATGTTGGTCCCCCTCGATCGGGGCTCTGAGGGGATGTGACTTGTGGGGTTTCCATGTGTTTTGTGGTACTTTCTGGATGTTGTTAAAATGTATGTTTTTTGTACCTGGAGATAATGGAGTTTAGTACAGTTCCTGAAACGATTATCTCTCAGGCACAGGGGAGGGATTACCCTGTATTGTGTGGGAGTGTCCTGGAGGGGGAAATGCCCCTGTAATATGTATCCGGAAACCCCTTGCATGGGGAATAGCATATAAGGCTGCATGTGGCTCCCATTAAACCAGTTCCTCTTCACCCTCAACATAGAGCCTTGTCTCATGTGTGGAGGGAACAGCTATATTCACTATAGGGATTGCTATACTCATACTCCCGGATTATATTATATTATTATAATCACTAGCTTTTGTAAGAGCTATCTTGCTTTACTCTCTGGATTGGGAGAGGCCTACCCACTGGAAGCTGGATCCTGGTATTGGGTTCAGGGTGGGTGGAGGACAGCGAGACTCCAAACAAGTTGTAACGCTGGCTGTGGGGTTTACGGTGGTTATGGTGTCTGGTAGAGTGCTTGGATTACACTGTGAGCACTAGGAAGCATCGATTGGCGGAGGTACCCAGTCGGGGTGCCAGGCAGTCCGCCACACTTATGTTCAGCCTAAGGGGTGGATGTGGATCCCAAGACAAATATAAAAACTCGTGATTTGTTTCAAAATATGTAGCTGACCTTTTTACTCCTTATGTTCTCAAAACTATGTGAGGACAGAATTTGTATGTATTAAATGCACAGATGTATATTTTTATATACCATAACTAGCTCAGGGGTACTAGGTAATTTTATTTAAGAAAAAAAAAGCCATTCATTGGTTGATCTGTGGGCCATGTTCCAGATTGCTCCAGTTCGTGAGTTAATCTGTGTTTCATGGTTTCAGTTGGACTGTCAGTTTTTAAAGGGACACTATAGACACCCAGGTCACCAGCTCTTTTTATTTATTTTTTTTTAAATAGAGAATATTAATATCTTGTATTCTTATACATTTTCTATCAGATGAAAATAATCAATATCTCCAGTATGCATATTCATGACAGTACAAAACAGATTAAAAAAAAAAAAAAAAAAGTTAGAAAGATTGCCTTAGGGGTCAGCAAGTATCACATGAATTGCTTTTTAAATTCTTCAATTAACAAAATATCCAGAACAAACAAAAAAATAATTTGCAATTAAATACATAGGAATTCAACAATTTATAGCATATTGAGCAAAAAAACAAAAAAGGAGATAAACACAAATATCTGAATGTCTTTTTCCTTCAGGCACACCTAATTGAACTCACAAGTCTTGCAATCTGCAGAGAAACTTGTGCAAGAAATATGCAGAGTGAATTTCCTTAAAAAGGATAATCCAGGCTGGAGTTGACCCATTTTTAATTGTTACGTTTCATTGTGTGCCAGTTATTTCAACAGGCAGATCACATTTTCAAACCCTGAGCAGTGGGTCTGTGCATTAGTTTGTGTAATGCAGTTTGACTGGAAAACGCACAATGGAGGGCCTTTAATGCTGAGCATTAGAGGAAGTTACAGTAAGCAGCCATTTTAATTCAGGCAGCTCCCAAAAGTGATGTTGCAAGACTGAAGCTGAGAAATAGTATGCTATACATAGGTTACAATAAACATGAGAAACATACACAGTAAAACAAATCATAACATCACATCACAGGTCTCCTCATCCTTCCATCACCCCCCTAGTATAACACATTTCTGGGTCCCACAGCAGTGGGTCTCGTCACCTCCTTAATTTTTCCACATGATCTAGTCGTCCCCAATATGGGTTTAAGTGGAAACATATTTTGGGAGGAAGATTTGTCGGAACGGTAGCATAATTGCAGTGTATGTTTTGATCATCAACTGATCATCCATCTGGAATTGTAAGGATCAAAAGCAGTGTGAAAACCGCACCTATCTCCGCTTGACAACTGGAGCAAATTGTGCAATGCATGTGCCAATCTATGCAGAGTCAGGGATCAGCGCATAGATAGCTTATAATGTACTTCACAGTGGTTTAAGAAAATATAAGCCTTCATCATTTTGACAAATGATGTCCTCCAGTCTTCCCTATCAAAAGCTTTAATTGAGCTCTGTTTCCCAATTAACCATTTACAAGAGTTGGAGTTTTTCCAGTGTAATTTTGAATAGCACTATTCACAGTGGCAAAGGCTTCTCTGGTATTTTAAATTCTGCACAAAGTTACTCCACACAGTTAGCTTAGCTGGGTTGTACCCGCCATTTGTCGCTGAGGTCAGTATGTGCTTTATCCCAAAAAGCTTAAGTTTACATTTCAGATAGATCGTTCTCTAAATGGTTTAACCCGGTCTTTATTTAAGATTTGGTTGACCCGGGTGATGTCTATGGACACTCAGCTTTGAAGGTTAAAAACTAGTGTGTGTTCTGCCACCTTTGTTAAGTGTATTTCCCAAATAAGTAATGTGAATTTTGCTTGAGGCGTGCATTCAGTAATCTAGGGGAGACTTCTATGATGGATCCATAACAGTTGGTGGAAGGAGTGTGGCTATAAAAAGTTGTTCTACGATTGGACTGTGAACTGTGTAACCAATACAGAAGCAATTTGAGGTGGTAAGGCACCGGTGCTAACTGCACTGCCTTGAGAAACTCTTCATCAATAAAATAGGACACCAGTAATGCTGCTTCATCATTGGGCAATGTAGGTAAAGAAACCCTGTCCAGGTACGCCTCTATTTCCTCCTAAGATTGTTGGCAATGTTTTGGATTGGTTTTTAAAAAAATTGTAAAGGGACGTATAAAATTAAGCGAGCCAATTTACAATGTCCTTTGTGTTAGTAAGTTTATTACCCTCCTCGGATAGAAGAAACAGCATTTTGGTCTGTACAAGTTTTGTTTTAAGTTTGGCTGCTAATAATTTGCCTGCCCTATTTCCCTGTGCATACTAGTTTTGTCCTAATCTACAAAGTCTACATTCTTTTATTTGCATCTGTAAGTCATTCAGATTTCATCTAGTATTGGTAAGTCAGCATCCCTGAATAAGGTTAAACTGTGGTAAAATATGGGTTTGGGACAGTTTTGTATAGTGAACCTTTATAACATGTGACTATTCTTTGCACCATGCAGACAATGGCCTAAGATTATATTGCTCAACAAGCAGGAAAAAAAATAAAATAAAAATAGCATCTGCTTGGGCACATAATGTAATAAATATATCACTGTCAAATAGGTGCAAAGACTAAAAGGAGCAAATCCCTGCATAATATTGTATATTTACACTGCTAATGATAAAAGGCAACAGTCACCTTTCTTGCAGTTACAGCATTAAGGGGACGCTGTAGTCATAATAACAACTACAGCTTAAAAGGACCACTATAGGCACCCAGACCACTTCAGCTCAATGAAGTGGTCTGGGTGCCAAGTCTATCTAGGATTAACCCTGCCTGCTGTAAACATAGCAGTTTCAGAGAAACTGCTATGTCTATATTAGGGTTAATCCAGCCTCCAATGGCTGTCTCATTGACAGCCGCTACAGGCGCTTCTCACTGTGATTAATAAAGCAGTTTTGGTGATTTAACTCCTAAATGGCAAAGAATTGAGCAGTGAGACTACAGGGGCATGATCTATACACCAAAATGGCTTAATTAAGATAAAAGTGGTTTAGGTGACTATAGTGTTCCTCTAACCTTTTTTTCCCACAAGATGCTCGGTTTTCTTTAACATTTAACGAATAATATCAGAATCCAGTTCGGACATGGAAAGGCCATGGCAAACAGTGATTCTCCTCTTCTATGTCTGCAAAGGACAGAGCATTTAACAATGATCAACAAGAAGCCAAGATGGAGGGAGCCCAGTTGCAGGATTTGTAGAGTTGTAGATTTGTAAGTTTAATTCGATCTTTCATATCCCACAAATACATATTTATTAAATACACAGATAAGTAAACATAATATTAAATATCCTGGAAAATAATAGTTCCCCCAACATGGAACTACAAGGAAAATAACATGGCACTACTTCATAGAGAAATGGTGCTAAAGCTAAACCACAAAATGAGGAAACTTGTGCACAAATTGTTATATAAACGCATTTTTATTGCTTTATCTAGGTGATGTGAGTGTATGAATGGGCATGTAGCCATTACAGAACCAGCTTGAAGATGGCAAAGAAAGCTTCAAAACAAATACATATTTTAATGTGTGCAAATATATTTGCAAGGAATGTCACCCTCACTCAAAAGGCATACCTAGGTTACTTGGCACCCTGGGAGGGCATTTTTATTGGCACACCCCCAAACTGTAGAATGGTCTTTTCATATGCAACTTGATTTACTCTCTAACAGCTTGCTAAACGAATTCATAGTTAATTCCTAATTATTAAGGAAGAAATTCATAAAAATTAGATACTTAATTTAGTTAGAAACTCCTAACTGGCTAATTCCACCCCATCCATACTATTCTTTATCCATTAAAAATAATAATAACATAAGACATACACAAATGGATACCAATGTAACTTAAATTTGGAGTACATGTTTTCACACACATAACTGTACTCACTTTCCAATAGCCTGCTAAACGAATCGCAGGCAATATCCTAATTGAAAAATAGAAACTAAGTCAAGTTAACTGAAAAATTACTGTTTTTCCTACTAAAAAACTCTTAATTTTCTAATTCCACCCCATCTATCTAAACACATTATTCCTTATCGGCCAAGGAAAGTGTTAACATATGACATCCAAAATGATACAATATTTATCAAAAGATCATCAATTTTTATGATACTTACGTATCGGTTTATCATCTGGCCAAACTGGTCCTCACACTTGCATTATAAATACATATCCGTAGGATTCAAATCATATATTATGACAAGAATTCTCAATATAAATAAATATTCTTTCAGTAACTATCCGTTTTACCAAAACTCACACCGTTTTTATATACTGTGAGCACACAAAGCAATTTAAAAATGCACCTATTTCTTTTTCAATTTGGTTGTTTTTAACCTTTTTCCACTACCACAGTTATATCACAAAAGGTTAATTTCCTGTGAAAAGTTTGGCAAGGAAACATCGCCCTCTACTCGTATTGGAAAATTCAAATCCTTTCTGACAAATCATAAACAGACACCCGGACTTATAATCCCTGATACTTACCTGTGCTCAGCTCCCCTCTGATGAGCTGACTGGCGAAACGTGCACGTCAGGGGCTTGGGTAGCAAAATCTTCATACTAGAGATGTCAGCATGTCACAATCATGTATCTAGCCGCGGCAACTGACATAGCTACCTACCACGGACTGGTGTTCCTCTTATTTATTTAATTCTGGACGGTCTGGGTATCTAACTTTGCTTAGTGAGAGAGTAGAATTTTGAGTAAGGGGTGCCCTCGAAGGCACAGTAGCCTCCACGTCTATTAGAATAGACTTTCTACTCTTTATCTAAATCCTACCCATTTGAATTACATTTCTCTCCTTTGCCTGAAAGTTGACCAGAGCCCCGGTAATATACTGAGTGAAATATAGGTATTTAACGTAATACAGATAAATAACAGGCACTAAAAACTGCAGCTATTCCTACTCCACTCACTTTATTATTACCAATTTAAGACCACAGCCCAGCACAGACCCATGTATAGGAAAACCCATCTGTTCTCATTACCATATTAAAAAGTCTTAATATAAATTGCTTGCACTCTCATAGACAGATTACAATCTGAGATTTATTTTGTGTTTTTATTTTTTTTTAATAAAATTAATCAATTAAGGGTTACCACCATTCCCTCCTATAACTCTCTATTAAATATGTCCATATTTCTATTTATTAACTGGCTCAACCATTTCTTTTCGCTTTTTGATTGTTAGGGAAGTTACCCACATAGTCATACACGCTATGCACCAACAAAACCTGTATATGTTCTACTAGCAGATTGCACATTTCTTTCAGAGTAATATTTTACATAGACTGGTGAATTTGTGGTATGAACAGGCAACCTTGAGGGCACGTGTTGCCATCAGCAGGATAATGATGGTGCTGTAATCATGAGATTTGCAGTTCATTGCAGGCACGGTCCCATATACAAGTGTACATCAATATTTGAAAAACATTAAACATGAATAATATCTCTAATACAAACTTAATACTGAGAATATTTAAGAAAACAGTAAGTTTTTATTTTTAAATGTCATATTGCCTTCCAAGACTAACCGTATTTGCCATGTTTTCTCTAATGTCCACTATGACTTCAAAAATATATTTCTAGCAGAAATGTAAAAGAAAAACTAAAAACACAACCAATTTATTGGTCTCTTTTTTTGTCATTTGTCAGAAGGCACCGAAAGATCCCTTTTCATGACACCTGAACTTTTAGAGATTTATTCACATATGATGGACAAATATTTCCTATTAAAAGGAGAAAAACAATAAATTAATATAGTATTTTCTTTCAGACATTAATGTTCTTTCAGCAACTACATACTGCTCATTAAAAAGTCATAAAAGTAATATTTTAAATATATATGTAACAGTGTTGACAAACACCAGTTTAATGGCTTGAAATGCCAACTCCACACTTTTATGGAACGAACTTGTGATTTGCAATTTGCGGATGCTGGGACTCCATTGTTAATTTTCTGTTGCTTATGGACATATGGAAACTCTTGGATAGCACACTCAGTTTACCTCAGAGTGAAAACTTCTCTTTGTGTATTTATGGTACTAGAGGTCCCTTACCACAAGCTTATAATATGTTTTCTCAAAAAAAAGATATATAGTTTATAAAATAAATGAATAAATAAAAAAATACAAAAAAAAAAAAAAAAAAAGCAAAAAACATTTCAATACAATGTATTATAAATAAAACGGATGATAAAGTAATGACGGACATATCAGGAATGTATACAAAGTTTGACGTTACTGAATGAACTGGTTCTAACCCAAGATACTAATGACTGCCATCATGAAGTACCAATGATCATTGGATCTTGCTGATTTGAAAGGTTCGCGTTACACCACTCACAGAATAATAGTATCGTTATAGCAGCCAGTTACATTTTAATCATGTGATTCCTTGATAAACACAAACATCAGAACAGTGCAGAAACTGGTCAAGTGACTCATATCTATTAGCGGACGACTTATTGCCTTCACCACATTTCAGCACTCCAAACACCAAGTGTCAGGGGACACTGACAATATCCGATGCAAAGGATGAGCGTCAACTTTCTCAAAGGCAAAACCCAAAACAGAATGCCTCCAAATGAGAATATGTTCCACAACATTCTACTAAAGCAAAAAACATAAATAAGCTTTAGTTTCCCTTATCCAACACAGACAAATAAAGAACACTTTAACGTCTGCCCACAAATACAATCAGACAAAATAGTATATGTGGTACGCTAGTGAGTCCCTCACCATGACAGCATGGCCATATTTTTCAGTATCTCATGGTAAGAAATAAAAGGTGTACTGTAAAGCCAACGCACTCTGGACATTCATTCCAGTTTACTTATCACATTATTCACAAAAAAATGAGATATATTATATATATATATATATATATATATATATATATATATATATATATATATATAATAAACATATATAATAAACAACATGTTAACTGCTATCTTATATGATCATTGAATATACCACCTCACGCCCTGTATCTGACATTACTCACCCTTAACTTCTCCCAACCAGCACAAGGGCTTTCCTGCAGGCCTGCATCTAAGGCTTATTGTAATTAAGTGACAAACAAAAAATATATTAAAATGTGACAACATGCAGCCTGGCTGTCCTAACATCTCCAGTAGAAATAAATAACAGCTATAATCCAGCTAAACCCGTGCATTCTACTAATTTGGCTTCACCCACACAGACTAATGTCTCCTGCAAACACACCAGATGCTAAGAGATAATGAGAGCAGAACATGCACTCATCAAATATTCAGTAATGCAAAGAATAAGGCACCCAAACCAGCTCAACATGACTATCAGCCTGCACACACACTGTACTCTAGATTTTGTACAGATGTGTAGATAAATAGAATATAAAAACAATCCATACATAAATCAACGATTACACACTAAACCAAGAATTGTAGGGAAATGACAATTGTACATTTTAAGCCAGAATAGAGCAGAAAAATAAAGTCAGTGGGATATCACCACTATGACCATCTTGGCCTACAATTTATAATTCCATGGTCAATAATCCAGTTTATGGTCTATTCCTCCAAAGTGACCCATATAGCTGGGAGTATTCACCACAATTAAAATGTTTAGTGGATCAACCCCTTAAATCCTTAGCGCAATACACAGGGCGTGCCACTTTTTTTTAGTGGATTAATAAATATACATTATATTCTAGGGTGTTTGCACAAATCTATATATAGTGCATATTATTAGTGTGGGGGTGTAAACAAAAGCATAAAAAACACAGACTCGCACAACACACAGGACAGTGGATGTCCACATTACATACAATACAAACACAGACTCTCAATAGCAGACAATATAAACCCTTTACTGCTTACCTAGAGCAATTGGAACTGTATCCACATATAAGCGCCCAGTAACAGCCATCAGTAGAGAGATACAGTATCAGGCTCTGTGATCACATCCTGGAGGAAGCCCACAACCCGTGGATGAAGAGATTCGATCACCTGTGTCTCTCTGGGGGTCATTATGGAACGCACAGTAGCCAAGGCTCCCCCGTGCAGTGAAAGCTGACACTTGGGCTGCTCAGGGCGGGGACATGTAGCCAGATCCTGGAACATTTAAAGTGACAGCATGGTGATTTGCTGAAACCTCTGTTATAATGACGTAGAACTAGAGCCTTAGCTCTTAACCCATTGACTGCAAGAAGAGAGCTGGCTTGGGTGATTAGCAAAACGTTCCAAAATAAATTGGTCACTGTTTCTTTTCAGGATATTAAGATTTGTCTAAGCTTATTAAAACTATAAGCATGCCTAGAGAATACAATACGCTTTTTAATAGGTCACTGTAAATCCGAGGTGCTTTGTCACGCCTTCAAAATATGAATTGTATGTTTAGAGGTACCTGGTGTATGTGTGTGACAAAAGGGCATGGACACAAAGTGTGCAAATGAAAATATACTTTTTAACTGTTATATATGTAAAAGGCAGAGAGTGATTTGTGAGATACTGACAATGTCATATCAGCATATTTTTAACAGGGCTATTCACTGTCTGACTGACCCCATACCAAATGAAGGAAACCATCCAGTGCTGTGCAGATGCCTTCAAGTGTTGTATTTCCTCCCACCCAGCCCTATATGTGTCTCATTCCCACCAAAGTGTCTCATTCCCACCAGACCCTCCTTGTCTTTTTCTCCCTCTCCAACCCTCCGTGTGTGTCCCCACCTCCCCTGTAGGCCCTACATGTGTCTTCCCCCCTCCCCTGCAGTCCCTCAATGTGTCTCCCACCACAACCCTGTACCTGTTTGCCATAATCACTGTACCTGTCTGACAGGAAGTGCTGGCCCGTGCTACACACAGCACAGCACATCGCTTCCCTCCTGATACCGCCATAATGTATATACCCACGTTGTCCTTCCCACCAATAAATAACACAACACCATGTTAGTGGGTAAGGGCAACGGCCACAGTTTTATTTTCCATTAACCAGGAAAACCACCACTGTCAGCTGCTAGTTTTACCCAGCAGATAGATAACAATTTTATAACCAGAGCCTCTTCAGCCTGTCATTCGTGATCCACCAAATCAGCCTGCGACTCCCCAAGCCCGTCCGGGCAGTGTCCTTTCATAACTTGCTGGCGCAGGAAAACCCGCCATCGCAGCTTGGACCCTAAACTGGGGAATGGCTGCCTCCCCCCGGAGCCAGCGCTTTGTCAACCATTGTTTGAAAACCCTTATTAAACACATCCAATCCAATGGGGTTAAGGTGAACCCCATCATTCCTCATCATGTTACGATTGTCGCCCTCCAGTTCAACATGACGAATATACAGGCCCCCTAAACTATGAACAAATCTAGATATCGTCATGTTAAGCGACGACGAGACCGTTCCAGGGCCTTAGCGTTAGGCACCGGGGGAACCACCTCTGACCAAATTAACACCAAGCTGGGGAATAATGCAAAGATGCACGCCAAATCATGCTTACATCATCATGCTTATATGCACGGATAAAGTCCACCATACGACCCATCCCCAGATCATTACCACCTGCATAAATAAGCAACATTACCGGGCCAGAAACAAAACCCTGGAGGGCTACACATTGCGGTAAACCTGATGCCACATGAGGCCCCTTATCACGCGCCATTTTACCCTAACCAGGTCATATAGAAGCCCAGATTCCTGTCATGTGGTATTTGCTCCGCCCGACGAGCTGCCCAGTAAATAAAGGAGTGTTCTAGAGTCCAAAGAAAATGAACAGAACCTGGAAAACAGAAAAGTGGTTATTAACCTCCTGAATGCCTACAATAAGTGAGGGCGCACATATAAGCGAAACCTGCGAGAGTTCCAATGACCCAAATGCTGAATAGCGGCATCTGTAAACCCTAATCTGCTAGCCTGAGTAGCCGCACCTATGTGAAAAGAATGAGGAAAACAACCACTATCATGTATACTCAGCGAGCGCAAAGCTGACTTTAAAACACTTGAGAATTGCGAGCGCAAGAGTACTGACCCATCCTCATGGATAAGAAAGGAACCCTCCCGGGATGGGTGAACCCGAAGGTAGGAACGAACCAAAGAACCTATAAGCGCCCGGATCTTTTTTACTGACCAAACCCAAAGGTGACACCCGCAAGTTGTCAAATTGGGGGGGGGGGGGGCGGAGGAAGGAAAAGGGGCCAGCCATACAACCTAAGCTCACTTCTTTTATCAATTTATCCAGTAAGATAGCTTCCTTTCCCCGAACCGATGACGCAAACGCCGCCTCCGAAGGCTCTTGAAATGGAAAAAAAAAACCTCCGTGAAACATTCACAAATAATTTATGCCTCTCGACGTTTAGGATACCGCCCGGACGGCTACAAGGTACAGACAGAGCCTTTCTGTCTTCACTGGGGTCCTCATGCCTAGGAACATCATCCTTGGATGCCGATCTAGGCAAAGGTTTTCCCCGCTTAAAACAGCGCACGGCCGGGTGGGCTCCTCCACAATAGGAGCATTCATGTTTAAACCGGCCACTGTACCAATTGCAATGGCTATCGTTGAAGAACCAGCAAATGCCTTTTTTGTGTCCCGCCAACCCTCCAGCAGGAGCACCGAGGGCATGGGGGGGGACTGGAAATGTCGCCGGGCATCATCAATAACGGCCATAAATTACCGTCCTGTACACTGAAATCCATCTGAGGCCGAACCACCATTTTTTGCCTAAATTGTTGGTCATATTTGAACCAACATTGGCCTCCATATACCTTGTAAGCCCCCCATATTAAGTCTAGGTATGCAAACAAGGACAGGGCCCGCTGCGGAAACTTACTAGAGAGAATGCTAGCAAAAGTAACAAAACCCTGAAGCCAATTTCCAAAGGTCCGAGGAAACTGCTTACCTTTTTCTCCTTCCGATGGATCACCACGACGCGGTCTGTCCACCATTTCCTTATTTAGCGGGACTAGAGATAAAAGGTTTAAACTCACCCTTTAAACATTTTTCTTTATCCACCGAAGGAACATGGAGACCCAATGGCGACACCTCACAAACTGGGCCAAGTGAGGGGGCATTAATGGGTGCCTCCGCACCCAAAGGAATGGAACTGTCACCCTGAGCAGCCAGAAAATCTCCACTACCTGCCTGCGCTGCGCCAGGAGATAATTTATCTAAAACCGCCCTAAGCAAGCCTATTACTTTGCTTTGCTGGACATTAGACCCTGACTAACGGCGCAGATTGCCAAGCGCGATTGCAATAATACTCACTAGCTTGGAGCAGAGAGTTTGGTCCCTCAACTCCCTGAACTACTTAATGGATAGGAACGTTCCGTTCTCCCAGCCGACTTGCATTTGCCGCAGGCATTCGGCAGGTTTCATAATCCGAATCCTGGCATCTGTGATGATCTGACTGCCCATCCTCTCCTGAATCCTGCTTGGTATGTGAATCAACCAGACGAAGATCTTCCCGAAGTCCCTCTCCGTTTGGCCCACGAACGGGCCCTCTCCTGTGAAGCTCTGTAAAGATCACCGGAGTTCGCAAAGTGAACATCTTCCAACTCCCAATGCCATCCCTTTGCCTGCGGTCGGCACTGTCATACTCACAAATGCTGTTCCTTCGCATGCCACTAGAGGGGCCACTAGAGATGGAGTTAACCCAAGCAGGTAATTACTGCAGTTTAAAAAAACTGCAATAATTACACACTCAGGGCTAAGGATGATGGGAGTTTTCACCCAGACCACTTCAATGAGCTGAAGTGGTCTGGATGCCTACAGTGTCTATTTAATAAATATAGAAGAATCCAATTGTCCACCACCAAAAACATCTGACTAATGTCCACCCACCCAACACACCTGGGGTGGCTAAGGCTTCTCTACTCCCTAGCTCCATTACCCAATAAAAAAATTCTGTTAACTTCCCTCAACCTAAAGTAGTAGTGAATGGTCTAAAAATCACTCCGTCAAATAAGTCTCCAATATATACAATTCCAGCATTTACCATACTCCTTATATTTATATTATCAAGATATAGGGACAAAGCTTCTATAGGAGCATCCAAGGAGATACATTCTTTACTATTATGCTTCCGTCTTGAAAGATATTTTTCACATTGAGTCTTTTTATAGCCAAGTTATCTGCCCAAAGCAAGAAAAAAAGGGTTCTTGTTGGATAAAACTTGTCTTTCATAACTAGAGTTGAGCGGACACCTGGATGTTCGGATCCAGCGGGTTCGGATGAACTTTGAAAAAAAATCCGGGTTCGTGCTCGAACTTGACCCCGAACCCGAACACCACTGAAGTTAATGGGAACCCGAACTTTTGGGCACAAAAATGCCTCTAAAAATTCCTGGAAAGGGCTAGAGGGCTGCAAAAGGAAGTAAAATGTGGGTAAGAGTAGAACAAGTGCCCTGCAAACAAATGTGGATAGGGAAATTACTTAAAATAACATAAAAATTTAAAATACAGCTGAGCCATAAAATAGCACTAGATGGAATCTTTGACTTTAGCATCTATGAACATAAATCAAAATTATCAGGAGGATCACCAGAATTATCTATTTGAGACAGGGTTGGAGTGCAGGGTATTCTCAGTTCAAACTGAGCTCAACTCCTGATGCATGGAGAAAAGGCCTTCACAAGCCTCTGCTATTGTGTACATAGTTTATACTAAGTGACCCATAGGTTGAGGAGGCGGTGGAGGAGGAGGTAGCCAACACTGTTTTATATGTATTAAGGCCTTTGGCCTGTAATTGTGGGAGGGGCGTATGACTCACCTTCTCCCTACTTAAGGGACACCCCTTACCTGGCTCCATACCGTTCGAGGTCAGCGCTGCATCGAGAATCCACTTCCGGTTCACGTACGGCGCCATCTTGCTTTTCAAAAACCCGCGGTTTTCGTTTGGTGTAGCTGTGTCCAGGAATCCTTACAGGTTTTCCGCCCGTTCAGCCACGCACATACCCGGTGTTTTCGTCGCAGATTAAGTCCACAGGACTTCAAAATCGTAAGTCCGTCGCCCGGATCATTTCCCACGGCGTCGCGATTTAAAACGGCCTTACTTTACGGCCACACACTTTACGGCCAAGTCACAGGCATATTAACCCCTTTACTGCCGGCAGGCATATCGGTTTCG